CACCACCGCTCTTCAAACTTTAGTGGCTGTTGTTGCTGCTGCTGATAAGTTCGCCCTTTTATCATCATCATCCTCATCATCATCATCAGAAAACCAACACTCGCCCTCAATAAAAGGCACTCCAGCTGCTCTGTGCTTAGTCTGTTTTTCTGCTCTCCGGCTGTCAGATTGTTTCCTCCAGCAAGTTCTCCTCTTCTCTTCATTTTCACCATTCGAATCTTCCCGGAAAAAGCTTCTGATCACCACTACCACCAACTACCTCAAGATGGCCAACCATCAACTGTTGGGAGTTCTACTCCTCCTCCTCGGTCTCACCACCTTCTGCCTAGGTAAGTCATTGCTTAGTTTGATTTTTGAAAAAACTTCAATTTTAACTCCCTCTTTTTATCATTCAGCCGCCCCGCCCACTCCCTGCTCTACACCTGCCTGCAAATCGGCGGCCGCGTACATCGCCGACGCCATGAACGCCACCGCCAACCCGTNGCTGGCAGTCCCGCCACCACATTCCCGACTGGAAGTCCCGCACCGGCACCTTCGACGCCCTCAACGACCAGATGACCGCCCAGATTGACGCCCTCCTCGAGGCCTTCAACGTCAGTGGTCACGGCCACTCCCATGTAAAGTCTTCCGGTTCAGTCGCTTATGGCGCCTACCTCTACCAGCGCTGCAACGCCCTCGGCACCGACCAGGAGGACGTGGTGGCCCTCGCCGACCTGAAGGACGTGGTCAAAGAGGTGATCGGCGTCTGGCCCATTGGCCAGGGCCAGCGGGCGGAGAAGGACAAGTCCTGGGCGGAGAATATCGTCAAGGCCTTTGTGGCGGGCATTAGCGCCGTTTTCCAATTTTCCATTCAGCCCGACCCGAAGAACGTGACGGTGAACAAGGTGGTGGTAAGTATTTTGTCTAGAATTTTATCAAATCTCATCAAAACTTATCAACCCCTCCTCCTTTTCTAACCTAGCTCGACCCCGCCGCCCAGGGCCTCGGCGACAAGGAGCTGCAAAACCTGACGGCCAACGCCAAGGAGATCACCGCCTACAAGGCGTACATTCGCTCGGCTGCAAAGCTCTTTTGCGGCGTCAACTGCCCCACCCTCGAGGAGGACATCGACGATATCATTCACCTCGAGTCAGCTCTGGCTAGCTCGAAACTCTCTGTCGAAGACCAGCGCGACCCGGAAACGCTCTACAACCTCCTGACCTTCAAACAGCTTGCCGATCGCTCTAAATTTGACTTTTTGGGCCACATTCTCATTCCCGCCGTGAAAGCCCTCGGCTACACGCCCACCGCCCAGCCCACCGACCAGCTGATCGTCTCCGACGTGAACTTCACCATCAAGGCGGTGTCGATTATCTCCTCGTTGAAGTCGCCCGACCGTACGCTGGCCAACTACGTTGGCTGGCGCATTGTTTCCGCCCTGGGGCCCTACTCTTCCGAATCCTTTCGCCGCCTCCTCTTTACCTTCCACCAGACCACTCAGGGTGTGAAGAAGATGGCCAACCGAACGGAGACCTGTCAGTCGCTTGCTAACGATCGTGTTCCATTTGCCCTCAGTCGCCTTTTCGTCGACCACCACTTTACCGAGGCGGAGAAGGTGGAGGCGGCAAAGATGATCGACTCGATCCAGGACTCCTTCCGCCGGTTGATCACCAAGAACACCTGGCTCGACGAGGCGACCCGGAAGGCGTCGCTCAGTAAGCTGAACCACGTTCACAAGAACGTCGCCTACCCCGCCTGGCTCCTCGATGACGCCCAGCTGGATGAGTTTTACTTTCTCCAGGACAAGGCTGAGGTGGCCAAGTTGCTCCAGGAGAAGAACTACCTCAAGACGCTGATTACCTTTGATCGGCAGCAGTTGAAGCGGGATTTGGTGTACTTCCTCCAGCCAATCGACATCAACAAGCATTGGCCAATGCCGCCGGCCGTAAGCTGATCGATTCATTTTTTTAACTACTTTTGATTTAATTGTTTTTTTCCTTTATAGATTATCAACGCCGCCTACGAACCGGAGCAGAACTCTATCAGTAAGTCCATAAAAATGTTTTTTAAAAATTTTGTAAAATTGTTTTAATTTTTCAGCCATTCCCGCGGGCATCCTCAAGGCGCCCTTCTTTGACGCTGCCCGCCCCTTTGCCATCAACCACGGCTCTATCGGCGTGGTCATCGGCCACGAGTTCACCCACGGTCTGGACGATCAAGGCCGTCAATACGACGAGGTGGGCAATCTGAAGAACTGGTGGACCCCGGCGGCCATCAAGGCTTTCAGCGAGCGCAGCAAGTGCTTTGTCGAGGAGTACGGCCGCCAGGTGGAGAAGAGCACCGGACTGCATGTGAGTGAACAGTTTGCAGTTTGCAAGAGTTTGTGGAGTTTAACTTTATTTTTATCTTTTAGCTCAACGGCCAAAACACACTGGGAGAAAACATTGCCGACAATGGAGGAACCCACGAATCGTTTAACGCCTACAAAGCACGAGAAGCGGCCTCGGGGGCGTCGCCCACGCTGGCCGACCTTCCCAAGTTCACCTCGGACCAGCTCTTCTTTCTCTCTTATGCTAATGTAAGCGATCTTTTTGATAATTTTGTTACTTTCTTAACTTAAAATTTTTTTAGACCTGGTGCAGCCTGACCCGTCCGGAGAAGCTGAAGCAGCAGATCGAGTACGACCCGCACAGTCCCTCGCAGTACCGCGTCAATGTCCCGCTGTCCAATTCGGCAGACTTTGCCCGAGCCTTCAGCTGCCCGGCCGGTTCGCCAATGAATCCCTCCGGAAAGTGCCTTCTCTGGTAGGCACTTTTTATTTTTTTGTTTCAAAATCTATCCTTCCTGCTTTGTATTCCAAGTATTTTCCCTTTCTTTTTATGATTTCCTTTTTTCAATTGTAAACTTGCATTTACACACAAAAACCAATATTTATATTATATCCATATTATTTCAATAAAATTAATTTAAATAAAACCAGAAAACAAAAGTGTACTAGAATGACCAATGGACAAAGACAAAGATTAGCACCCATTACTATCCAAAAATTTTTTCACTTTCAATGTTTTTTTCATAAGCGAATGTCAACTGTTTTTTTAATCATGTTTTTGTCAGCTGGGCTTGCTTTTAGCGCCCTCCTGGCATTTGCCAAAAAGTTACTAGCGTTTACCTCAGTTAATCAAAACTGATATTGACATGTACATTGTGCTGACGTATACATTGTGCCGCTACAGTAACTGTAACTAGCAACAATTAAAAGAAAACAGCAAGTTTAAACTTTGTCTGCATTCTTTTTCCAACTTCTCATTATCAACTATTTTTGCGCTATAATGTCTGACTTTGACGTATCTTCATATTGCAAAGCAATTCAAGATATTGTCAACGGAGAGTTTGACTGGGAGCAAGCCAAACTTCTCGAAACAATTCTCAATGACAACAAAGGCCAAATCAAAGATGAAGATGAAATGCAATCTTATGTCTACTTTCTGCTAGACCCAAAGCGTCTTCATGATTTGTTTAAAGTTTAAAGTAGACCAGAATCAGGAATGATTGATTTGAAAAAATTCATCATTTTTATTTTGGCTATATTTTATTGCTGTCAAGGAAATTTCCTTGAGGTGATGGCCTCTGACGAGGCCGTTCGAG